TACAGAGTTGCTGCAGCGGCCCGGGTTTGAATCCGACCTGCGGCCCTTTGCTGCGTGTCATCTCCTCTCTCTGCCCCCCTTTGTCTGTCTTCAGCTGTTACTCTCAATAAAGGCAATAAAAGCCAAGAAAAAGGAGCCAGAGGAACAATATTTTATATAAATTACAACAGTTACCTAATGCAGCTTTAAGGCTTGTAAGTGCTTTCTAGCTTTAGAAGATCAGATTCCCTTTCTTAAACTGAGAATGCGAATAAAGTTACTATCCTGGAAACTAGGAATATCCAGTGTAGTGCAGTTCCCTCTTATACCATGAGATCTATAATACTGGCTGCAGCCTACGTTGTACTCAACTCCAAGCTTTTATTTTAAACAGACAAGATTACAAATCTGATCAGGTATTTGATACCACCTTTTAGCACTCAACAGTTTTTGATACTCTGTTCGTTTGGTACTAAATTAAAGGACAGAGGCTCAATAACCAGCTATAATAAGGGTAAGGGCAATGGTGGCATTATTCTCCCCCTCTACTTTTCTTGCTTTTAATATATAGCATCTGCAGGAAGTGCTGGGTTTCCTTGACTTTGGCTTAACAAAGAAATTCATTTGTGAATGAAAGCAGAATTGTTGCTAAAACGAAAGTGTTCTCTGCAGAGTGGTGGGTAATGACATGACTGTGGTTGTACTGATGGATTAAGTGCTATGGAAATGCACATTTTCCCTATCTCAATATGTCTTGCCTGGCTTTTATTAAGGACCGGCCTTAAGTTTGTTCTTTATAGAGATGCGGTGTTCCTGCCCGAGAAAAATAAATGAAAGTAAATGAAAAAGAAATAACTGAGGCCACTCCAGCCAAGGAGTTTCCAAACATTTCAAGTAATCAAAACATCTTTTTTGAATCCTTGTCTATTCCTAAGTGTGTTAATTTCAAGTTTTTTTTTTTGTTTTTTTTTTGTATGGTTCCCAGGCCTCCATATTGGTTACCACCAGACTGTCTGCCCTGGACCGTATCCCTCAGAAGTATGTGAGTCGCTATGCACAGATCTGTGGCTTTAATGACCCAGCCCGCCAGCGGGCATACTTTACCGGCCGCCTCCTGCAGCAGAGTGGGGAAACTGTATGTAACCATGATGCCCAGGCTCTTATAGAGCTGCTTTATCTCAACCTCCAGAGAGAAAGCCAGCTGGCCGCAGCATGCTTCCTCCCCTCATACTGCTGGCTCACATGTGCTACCTTACACTTCCTCCATTTCACTGATGCCAATGCACCCATCCGCACACTGACTGGCATATACACCAGTTTCCTTAGGCTCAACTTTGGGGGTGAGGTGCTGGGCACAGGGACAGGGGCAAATGTGCCCCTTCAGGATCACCACAATTCTCTGATGTTGTATGTAGTCCGTACAGTTGGTAAACTTGCATTTGACGGTGTGACATACAAACGCTCATCCTTCTCAGAAAAGGAACTAGAGCAGTGGATAGGAGGGAAGACCAAGACAGATGAGGAGCTACGTCAGCTGGCCATGTTCCGGACTGACGTGCTAGACTTCTTCCTGGTTCCCTGTGTAGAAAGTGGGAAGCATTTACCAGAAGGACCCAGTGAGAATGATGAGATGCGGTATGTGTTTGCTGTCCCAGCCATGCAGGAGTACCTGGCGGCTCTCTACGTGGTACTAGGAGAGAATAAATCAGCTCTGGAGAAGCTGACCAAGAAGGTGTCTGTGGCCATTGGTCCAGCAAGTGAAGATGTTAATGCCCTTGTTAACATCTTTTCTAAGTTCATCCCTCTCCGAATCTTTGCCGTGTTTAACCTCCTCAAGCTGTTTCCAAAGCTCTATGAGAAAATCATCAGTCGCAGCAAAGGCAGCATTGCCAGAACCATGGCAGCTGAGATGTTCCGTACAGAGGATAGCTACAACGAGGATGTCCTTGATCAGGTCGAGCAAAGCCTCCTGGGAGTCCATGGCCCACAACCAAAGCAGTACTGTGAAGGCCAGCCTTTTGAACTCTACCCTATCTTCATGGGAGGACTGTTACATTATGGTAACCGTGTACTTCTCCAGCAACTTGGGTGCAGCATTCAGAGCACCACGGTGGCCCAAATCACACGTGCCCTTAGGAAGCACCTGGTCAGACGTAAGTTCATTTTCTTTTCAGTCTTGCTTAGATAGTATGCTTGCTTGAGTAATTAAAGGTGTCAACCTTTGTAGTTAACTCTGACCAGTCCAATACTGGACAGATACAGATATAGCTTCGGGTGTTCTCACAGGTATGATTTGTTATTGATTTTATCTATGGATTATCAGAAACAGGAAGAAAACAAAATTCCAAATATAATATGTTAAAAGTGAAAATACAAAAAATTCAACATGAAAATTCTACTTACATTAAAATTCTGAAATCCAAAAGCACATTTCTACAATTTAAGAAATATAAAATAACTCCCGTATCAGAAAAGAAATAGCTTCATAAAAAAATATTTTACCCTGAAGCTAAAATGGTAGCTCAGTCTAGTCTTTTCTACCCCTACTGCAACAATTACAAGAAAGTTACAAGTGTGAGTTTTACAAAAAAACATATCCAAAACAGAAGGTATAGGTGGAATTGTGCCCCAAGATTGTGTACCAGGAGTAATGGTATCTTGGAGTCCTGCCTGAGCCAAGAGTGGAGGAATTTGGTGTATTTATTTTAATAGTCTGTTGACATAATGAAAATCTTTTACCTTATTTGATGCTAGAGCTCAGCAAGCCACAGCCACCAGAGGAGCTGATGGATCTGCTGGTCCTTCTGTATGAGTTTCAGAACCCCAGACTGACTGCAGAAGTTCTGGCCTCAATCAGATCCATCCGCCTAAGCGACATTCGCATGACGCCGATCAAATGCTTTGTACTGAGTTCTGTGCTCTCATGCGCCCCTGCAAGGTAAGCTATGGGCTATGCTTTTACTGGCAGCTGTTTATTATGTAGGGTTTTGATTCTATTGTTTTGCTGTTGTGTATGATATTTTTTATTTTGATCCAAAAGAATATCCTACTTTTAAATCTTATTTGCGCACAACAATTTGAAACTGACTGATGTTAGCATTTACAGTGGGGAGAACAAGTATTTGATACACTGCCGATTTTGCAGGTTTTCCCACTTACAAAGCATGTAGAGGTCTGTAATTTTTATCATAGGTACTCTTCAACTGTGAGTGACGAAATCTAAAACAAAAATCCAGAAAA